GGCGTCGAGGGAGACGAGAGGGGTGCGGTTGAAGGAGGGGAGTTGGCGGTGGAAGGCCTGGGTTGCGGATGTGTCGATGTCGCGGCCGAGGGCCCCGGCGCGGGGGTTGATGTAGACACTTCTTCGTCCGGAGGCCATAATGAAGGTGCTCAGCTGCGGTTCTGAAGGTGATTCATTGACGATGCGTGCGAAGACGCTGGTGGCATGTGTTATTTATGTGCATTTTGTGTGTTGAAGGTCAAAATGACCAGCGTGGGATTTGAGGAGCGCAAGAAAGCAACACCGATCGAAAAGGCGTTTTCGACAGTTTCCCGGGGCGGAGGACGGCAGACGGTTCCGCCCTTTCGTGACACCGGGCAGAGACCGGAGCCGGTCTTTGGTGCTTAAGACGGGGGCCAACCCATGACAAGTCCATGTCCAAGTACATGTCCAAGCCCATGTCGTATGTCTACAATCTACGGATGGATGGACTTTTCATAGTTTCCTCTTCGTCTCTTCCTAGGCAGTGAGTAGGTATGTTTTCAGTACCCAAGTAGTAATCTTTTCCGGTAGTGGGAGCTTTTTCAAGGAGTGAGATCTTTTTTTAGTGAGTGAGATGTTTCTAGTGAATAGGGGCTTTCCAGTGAAGTTAGTGAAGGTTAGTAAGTAAATAAGGGCTTGTAACTCTCCACTCACTGAGATGTTGCAAAGGAGGCGTATTCAGCGACCACACAGGTCATGGCTTTTGTGTATTTGGCAGTCATAGCGCACACGTTGCCCGCCGTTACAGCGCCCGGACATGAATGGGAATGGGCCAGGCTACCTACCTATCTTAAGGTACAGACAGGCATCTGACTTCATTTGGCAGTCATTGTACCTATCTTGGCTGCCCACTGGACATGTCTATCCCCTATGGTCCCTAATGAAATGGACGCATTACAGGGCGTCTCTATCACAAGACACAGCCCGGGGACACAGAGGAAGAGTAGTAAAAACATATGCTGTAAAATGAGGTAATCTATACGATGGCCCCCACTAAGAAGCTATCTTCAGAACGATGAGAGACGGCTCAGTGAGTCACTCACTGTGAGTCAATCTCCAGCGGGGTCTGCCCGAGTTGAAATGACATGACATGCAAAGGCGTAAAGGGCGTGGCCGACGTGCATTTAAGCCAGTGGAGGCCTTCCATCACCATCTCAAGCATCATCTCATACACAATCTGTCATCTGAGCCTTAATTACCTAACGCACGCGTTAAGTAAACACTAAAACATGGAGCTCCCCTACACGACCGTCGACGTCTTCACCGACACGCCCTTCGAGGGCAACCCACTGGCCATCGTCACGATCCCGGCCGCGGTGACCCTGACGCAAACGCAGAAGCAGGCCATCGCCCGCGAGTTCAACTACTCCGAGACCACCTTCGTCCACGAGACCGACGACGCCTCTTCCACCACTCGTCGCTTCGACATCTTCACCCCCGAGGAGGAGCTGCCGTTCGCCGGCCACCCCACCGTTGGCACCGCCGTCTTCCTGCAGCCCCGCGGCGTCACCGAGCTCCGCGCCAAAGCCGGCCCCATCGCCCTCGAGACCACCGGCCCCGACTCCGTCCGCGCCGCCATCCCCCACAACGTCCGCCTGCACCAGCACCGCCTGAAGAGCCTAGGCCCGGGCCCCTTCAGCGATGCCACTGGCGAGATCGCTGCCGCCGAGGAGAACGCCCCCGTCTTCAGTATTGTGAATGGCATGACCTTTGCCCTCACCGAGCTGCCCTCCCTCGAGGCCTTGGGGTCTGCCAAGCACGGCCCCATCGACTTCCGCCAGAACGAGCTGCTGGACGAGGGCTGGCGCGACACCTTCATCTCGCCCTACTACTTTGTGCGTCTCGGCACGGAGACCGTCGACGGTCGCGAGGTGCACAAGATCCGCACCCGCCTCATCACGCCTACCCTCGAGGACCCCGCCACGGGCAGCGCCGCCTGCGCCCTGTCCAGCTACCTCAGCATCCATGTTTTGAAAGGGGAGTCGCTCAACTTCGAAATCACCCAGGGCGTAGAGATGGGTCGCCGGAGTACCATCTATGTTGATTCCACCGTCACCACCACCGCCGACGGCACCCGCAAACTGGAGACTCTGCATCTCGGCGGCAAGGCGACCAAGGTCATGAGCGGCGTCATCACACTCAGGCAATAACTGCTGACGAGTCTTTATCTTCATCTACAGCGATGTAACAGAAACAGGATACAAAGAAGTGAAAGAATATATACCACACTCACTCTCCAGGAGTCGTCTCACACCTTCCACCTGTCCTCATACACTCTCCAACCTACTAGAGGTTGATTCTCAAGCCGAGCGTGTTGTTGAACGTGACAGTGCCCCAGTACGGCTCCATGCCCGCGTTGCCGACGTTGACATACGTGCTCTCCGAGAAGACGCCCTGCTTCGCCAGCGCCACAAGCCAGTCCTTGATGTCTCCCTCGAACGCGCCGCTCTCCAGGTCGCCGAACTGGCTGTCCTCCGGCACCAGCAGCGACGACACCGTGATGCCCGTGTCCGTGTTCTTGCCCTGGTACAGCTTCCACCCGTCCTTGCCGTACAGCCCGTCAATCGTCGCCGTCGGGCCCTCCGCCCACCCGATCGGCACCTGCCCGCCCTCGTACCGTAGCCAGAGCATCAGCTCCTGCGCCGCAGACGACGTGCTGTCGCCCTTGGTGTCGGAAGTCATGAAGTCGTACACCACGTTGCCTATGTGGATCTGTCAGTCATCATCCCTCTTGTTTGTCTTTCCATTGCTGGTGGTAGCACCACCCACCCTTGTAAGCGGACGTGTTGGACACGGTCCAGTCGTACGTGCTCGGGATGCTCGCGATATCGCTCAGCCGCGTCTCCAGGTTCTGCGTGAGCCCGATGAACGAGTACCCCTTCACGACGTCCTTGTTCACCGTCGGGTCGATCTTCCACACGCTGCTCCACTCGATGCGCTGCGCGTCGCCCGAGCCCGACGTGCCCGCGTACCCCGTGCAGCACGAGCCGCTGATGGACTTGTAGTTGTAGTTCATCGAGTACACGATCCACGGCGTGCCCATGAGCACCTCGTAGTCGTTCGGCGCGCCGCAGAACTGCGTCTCCGCGGCGGCGGCCGTGGCCAGTACGGCGGGGGCAAGATACCGGGTGATTTGCATTGTCGGTAAGCTGTAAAGACTGTGGGTGGTGTGAAGGAGTGTTGGGCAAACGCTGCCTTCACATCAAGAGTACCTGCTGCTCATCTTATTTTAAACATATCCTCGCCAGCTAATCCGAGCCATTCGGATACGGTTCTCATGTCTCGTGGAGACGGGTAGGGGGCGAGTAATATGCAGACCATGTTGTCGTCGTAAACACCGGACCATCTTTGCTCGTCAATCTGAAACCCGCCCGCTGATCAGCGCAGTCCAGGAGGACGGCAGCGGCAGCGGGAGAGCTGCTGCGCGCTGGAACGCTGGGAATAAAACCCCCGGAGCAATCATCTTTCACCTCGAAAGTGAATGACCCTGGCAATCTGACCACCCGCTCCCGTAAGGCAATCTCTCCTGCCGGGACCACGGGTTCCTAGCGCTCGGCAGCTTGATTGACTTTTGATTGTGGAGCGCGTGGCAGCGGGGTCTAGACTCGGGGGTGATAAATGTGCATGGGAAACATTCAAGCGATTTCGGGGGAGTGCCATGGTCATGTCGTCCTTTGTTTTCGCCTATCTTAAGTGTTTTGATTTGCAACTCCACAGGAGTGTGATCGTGATGCTGTGGCTTTTTCCGAGCAACTCGGGTGCAACGCGGAAACCATCCTTAACGCACAGCTCTCGGTATGCGTATCACACGGATCGAAAGCATCTTCCAGAGCGCCCGGAAATGAGCGCACACACTCTGGTGATGTGGCCAACTCTGGTGGACGGACTTCGTGGGGGGTGCAAAAGCACTCTACATGATAGAGAGAGAGAGAGAGGAAAGACGGCTATTGTATCAACCCCTGCATCTCAATCTCTGGAATTGATTACATCGTGAGAATGAATCCAGCCTCGCCTCTCGGTCGTCTGCTGCTGGACAAAACCTTGAGATTATAGTCGGATTGACTGATGAAGCCCAAGGCTGTCATCTTCTGCCGTTGAAATTGTCCATTCCGTCGTAGATAGACACTCTTAGTGGACATTCGACCATCGTTCTTCATCTTCTGATTACACCCTCGGGTTAATGCAATGGAACTTGCTGCGAACCATCCCAAGACGCGCAGGTGTGTGGGAAAATACCATATTGTTATACCCAACCAGCACCACACATGATTTCGAAGCATGCAAAAGAGTCAACCCACCGATATTCTGAAGCTATTCACAGTTTGTCAGCAGCCGCATGCCAAACCCCCCTTCGACCGATCGGCAATGCTTGATAATCCGGCAACTCGCCAACCCACACACATGGACCTGCAGCACCGGCCCCACGACCATTCCAGAGACGATCGGCCGGCCGTCGAAGAATTTTTACACATCCTCCACCCAAAACCAGCCCATCTTCTCCGCAGAAATGAGCCGATCGTCACCGCCCTGACGGCACCTCCTGCCACAAAGCAGGCCCTGACAGGTCCATCCCACCCCGAGCCTGTGCTGGCTGTCAGTTTGGATTAATCAGACGAAGCGATATCGCCAACTGCCGCCCCTCTCCAACCACGATCCCCGAGCTTCAATTCCGAACAGCCCGGGCAAAAGGCGGGAGTGATGGGCGGAACGGGGCCGCGACAGGGGGGCGACCGCTGTCGAGTCAGTCGAAACGGTTCGAGCAGTGTCGCATCGCGGGGTCCATTATGACAGCATGAATTGAACATTGCGTCATGTCGACTCTGCTGGAAGCTCGGAGCTGCGAACCCCACGATTCGCAAAATGGCCTTCAAAAGTCGGCGTCGCCTCATTCATGGAGTGGTTTGTGAGCCGATTGAGCCTCGGAAACATCGTCTCTGAATAAGATCCAGCGGCGTAACACAATCATCAACACTTTCACCATGGCCCCGACGACAACAAACTCCTGGTCCATCACGGGCACCAGCAAGGAGAACTGGGACTCCCTCGAGTTCAAGAAGGACGTTCCCCTCCCGCAACTGGGCGACTACGACGTCCTCGTCCAGATCGAGGCCGTCTCGCTCAACTTCCGCGATCTCGCAATCCCCAAGGTCAGTCACGTCCCGTCTTAAGCCGCTGCTTCAAAACACCAACACTAACATCACCCTCGCACGCAGGGCCTCTACCCCTTCCCCGTCAGCTTCCCCCGCGTCCCCGCCTCCGACGGCGCCGGCCGCGTCCTCGCCGTCGGCCCCAAGGTCACCCAGCTCGCTGAGGGCGACGACATCTGCACCCTCTTCAACCAGCACCACCAGTCCAACCCCATCACCCCGCTCGCCGTCCGCAGCGGCCTCGGCGGCGCCCTCGACGGCACCCTCCGCCAGTACGCCGTCTTCCCGGAACACGGCCTCGTCAAGGCCCCGTCCACCCTCAACGCCATCGAGGCCAGCACCCTTCCCTGCGCGCCGCTGACCGCCTGGAACGCCCTCTACGGCATCCAGTCCAAGGCCCTCAAGCCCGGCGACGTCGTCCTCACCCAGGGCACCGGCGGCGTCAGCCTGTCCGCGATCCAGTTCGCCGTCGCCGCGGGCGCGACCGTCATCGCGACGACGTCGTCCGCCGCCAAGGGCGAGCAGCTCAAGAAGCTCGGCGCGCACCACGTCATCAACTACAAGGAGACGCCGAACTGGGGCGAGGTCGCCAAGGGCCTGACGCCCGGCGGCGCGGGCGCGGACCACATCATCGAGGTCGGCGGGCCGGGCACCGTCGCGCAGTCGCTCAAGGCCGTCAAGCTCGAGGGCGTCATCTCCATCATCGGGTTCCTCTCGCACGGCGACGCCCCCAAGGACCAGCCGACGCTGCTCGACGCGCTGGCCAACATCTGCACCATCCGCGGCCTGTTTGTCGGCTCGAAGCAGCAGTTTGACGAGATGAACCAGGCGATTGACGCGAACAAGATCAAGCCCGTCGTCGACCAGAAGATCTTTGGGTTCGAAGAGGTGAAGGAGGCGTACCAGTACCAGTGGGACCAGAAGCACTTTGGCAAGGTTGTTGTCAAGATCTAGGCAGCGTGTGTAGCTTTGGGAGTGGCAGCCAGACGGCGATGCCAGCTTAATTAATGCAGTTATGACCACCATGTAGCTCATCCGATGAGCACTGCCAAAATTGTGCAGGTTGCAAGCACTTCCTGTGACAAATGTGTGTGTGATCGTATCGTGTTGTATTCGTTGAACCTGCGCTATTGTCGCGCTGTAGTATACATCATTCCCATTGCCATGACTCCGTTCTAAATATTCATCAACCTGTACAGTCCTCGCTAGATTCCTCCCTTATATATGCGGCGTCCGCTCTACGACTTCTGGTCCGACACGTCTTCGATACGGCCGGCTTCTCTTGGACCGCTCCGCAGAGCGCGGCCATCTACGATCGGGCGTCCATGGGAATCGTACTGCAGGGTCTCGGTGTACATCGGGCCTCCGCCCTTCTGAGACGCGGTCTTGATCGTTGTGCCGTCGGGCGATCGCTGTGTCTGCTTTGCGTACCGCTGGCTGTTCTCCTTGCCGTTGACGGAGATGGAGGAGGAGAAGGAGACGAACGAGGAGCTCCAGATGGGCATTTTGGGTATGTTTCGCAGTTCGATTTGGTTATTGAGTTGAAATTGCTTGATTTTTCTCTGAGAGTCTGGTACTAGTGAGAGGCAGGAAGCAAGAAGAGTTGCATGTGAGACGGACGAGTTGGAGAAATACCCAGCCTCCGTCTTGCTTGCATCATGGGCCCACAAAAGCTGCATACGTCATGGCCGAGCTCAGGCGCCATCTCATTGGGAGACACAGAGAAATCATGTGCCTGCAGCATGATAATCTGTGCTGCCTTTGTTGGTCTGGGACCTATTTGTTCAGATGAAGTTGTCTACTCGTCTTTTTTTACTGCTCAATCATACAAGAATCCCGTAGCAAGATGGACCCTCGGCCAAATTGATTCATATGTCCCTTCACAGACGAGCGATCGACTTTTCATGTTCAGGGGCAATATTAATCCTTTCGAGAGCCAGATAAGTTCGGTCTGGTTATCAGATGCTCAGTCAACCTAAAAAGGCTACCAACGGAAGCGCACACTTCAGACAGATGTTTTCTTTCGATCGCAGATGACTACCTGCCAGCTTCTTCCCTCTTGATTAATTCTCATATAACATGTTCCCTCAAAATCACCTGAGAGTAACGTCGCAGTGATGTCCGACCGGGCTAATCAAGAAAAAGTTCTGCATCTCCATCATATCGTCCGTCATGTTGTGGGTAAGTCGGACGCCACGACAGTTCCGGAAGAAGACGGCAGTGGCAAGTCGCAGTTCCATGCGAGCCAGGTGCAGCCCGATGCAGACGCGGGTGCCGGCTCCAAAGGGCGAGAACAGCTGCTTCTGCTGCTTCGAAAGCCTCTCCTGATCGAGGAACCGCCTCTCGTCGAACCTGGGTTGAAGTCAGAAAGCATGCTTCAAAGTCGTAACACGAAACCAACTTACCTTAACGGATCGTTGTACACGTTTGGGTGCCGGTGGAGTGTGTATGCTTGTGTCTCAACTACAGTGCCCCCAGGAACGAAGAAGCCTGCAAACGTCGCGCCGCTGGGCGGCACTGATCGAGGAAGATTGCCTGGAGCAGCACCATAGAGACGAAGAGTCTCGTCAATCACCGCGTTGAGAAGCGGCAACTTCTCCAAGGCGGCGTCGTCAAATCCGTCACTCAGTCCGGCAAGCTCCTCCTCCAATCTCGCCTGTAGATCAGGTCTCCTTAGTACAACCCATACCAAGTACGTCAATGTCACGGACGTCGTATCGGATCCAGCGACAATTAGATTACCGGCTTCGGCTTGGACCTTCTCGGGAGTCAGGTCCGACTTCTCCCCGGCCTCGCACTCGGCGAGCATGTTGCCAAACAGGTTTGCGGAGTGGCCGTTCTGGCGCAAGTTTGCAGCGGCTCTGACAGCATGCGCGTCCACAATGTTTTGGGCTTGCACGATGTTCTGCACCGACTGGATTGGGAGAAGACGTGCCAAGAAATACAGCAGCGGCAGTTCCTTGCGGAGGGTGGTGAAGATGAAGACGGATTCCAGGGCTTTGATATAACTGTTTTTCTACTCGGTGTAAGTGATGCGAAGGAGTTCTCATGAACAAGCAGCCTTACCTCTCCCAGTTCCAGCATCTCAAACGACTCTCCAAAGGAAAGATGGGCAATGACATCGGTTGTCATCAATGTCCACCATTTCAGAACGTCGGCTTTTCCGTTCAGGGCGTCGGCTTTGATCCGCTCAACAGCCCGCTCGACCTTCTGCCGGACGATACGCTCCCAGTTTTGGCGCAGCGAGGCACTGGTGAATGCACGAGCAAACAGCTTTCGGCGCGCAGCATGTTTCTTCGGATCGACTATAGCGAAGATTCCCGGCTCGACGCCAGCGGTGACCGTCGAATACCATGGCCCCTTCAAAAAGCCCGAGCCGATCTTGTGAATCGTGTTGAAGCCTTCCGGATCGGCGACGGCAACCTCGGTGGGCGAAATCCGAACGATGGGCCCGTATCGGTGGTGGAGAGAATGCACATAGTGCATGCGCCGGCCGGTGAGAGTTTGGAACTTCAAACCATAGTGTGAGAACCTCGTGTACCATGGGCCAGGAACATGGCTCAGCGAACATGTCAAGCCGGTGAACAGGATCTGTCAAATCATCATTAGTACTGGCCGTCGAGGTGAGTTCGTCCAAAGGGAATCTTGTTACTGACTCGAGCAACGAAAACGGCGAAAATGGCCGCCAGGCCGTAGCCAACGGCTGCGAAATTCAAAAGAAGCATGTCGATGAGCTTGAAGAGGCAATTACTGAAGTCAGAACAGACTTTCAAACCTGGCGTTCAGCGGCCAATGCCTCGCCTTTGAATATCGCTGACGGCCAAGGGAGGGGCCGGAAAACCCGCCCGGAACCGGTGGGGGATCGCCCACACCGACACCGACTACCGACCATGAATTGAGGCTTGTCGCTGTCTCCCCCGCGTTTCACAGCGGTCAGTCTAACGGACGGTTGAGATTCTAGTCGGACGCGGGGTATCTGCTGAGCCCGATGTGGGATAGTTCCACTGGGAGACCCAGCACCACAACGGCCCGCGCGTTATTGTCCGAACACCGAAGGCCGCAAAGGCATGTTTCTATTCCCACGAAATATAGATGATATCCGTAGACGTTCTCTCTCGTGTTCATTTTGTGAAGAATTCTTTTGTGAATTTTTGTATAACTAGGGATATATAAGAGGTCCCCCTTACTCTAACTACCCCCTATATATCTAACCGCCCCTATTAACTACTACTACGCTATAGCGATCGTATATATATCCTTAAGTTCCTTTAATAGGGCGCTATACTTTAATAATATAAGACGCTTAATTTAATTAACGTCGTATAGTTTATTTATTTTAAAGTTTATTTTAATACGTTTAAAATATCTCTATATTTTAACTTAATAATATATTATCTTATTAAGGTATATTAGTAGAAAGTAGTAGTATATTTAATATACTATTAAGCTTTATACTAAGGGATTAAGTTATATATATAAAAATCTATATACTTTATTTTAATTCTTTTAAGTAATTATAAAGAAGCTATTACTACTTTTAAAGTAGTAATAAATAGTATTAATATAGTATAATAATAATATTTTAATATTAAAAGAGTAATAAGTTATAGTAATATAAAGAGGGAGATACTTACCCCTTATTATTAAAGTAATTTACGCTCTCTTTATATACTTCTATAAATAACTATAGAGGTTTCTCTATAAGCTATCCTAGCTCTCAAATATTTCCCTATAAGAGTTATATAGTAGTTAATAAAGTGCACCTCTAGGCAGCAAACTACAGAAGAAAAGTTAGAAGGGAAGAAAGATTCTCTCTTATATTCTTTCCTTTATTTAACGGTCAAACCATAGGCCAACAGTAGGATCAGAGTTAGCAATGTCCGCTGAGAACGTCTGCGTCCACGCTCACTGGACAGACTCAGACGAAGTAATTTATTTGTATTGAGTTTACTATCCGCGCGGTAGTTTCTGGCTGACCAGGCGGTAATCCCACTTATCTCAACCAATCCGACTTCCAGCTTCAGTCGCATAGCCAATCACATACAGCATAACGTTCTACACAATCAATACCGCGAAGTTATCGATTACCCGCGCGCAGCTACTGAATCGACTTACAAAGTCCTTTTCAGCTAACCATATCACTAGTTAAGCAGTGGGATACTGCCCGGTTAGCCAGAAACTACCGTCCGGATAGCAAAATTACTCGTATTTTGATTACTCACCTGCTACTTTATCTCGTAGAGGACAGAGCTCTTGCGACGTCAAAACAAACACCGGCAACTCCTTTTAACAGGAACGCGGCTTTTCCGGCGAACTCTTTCCCGTCAACCAATCAAGGCAGTAATATGAAAAGTTTGCGCCTAAGAAAGTTGATTTTCGGCGCAAAGAGTTGCGCATTGAGCACTGCAGAAGGCCAAACTGACTATGTTGAGACGCACGCTCATCAGGCGTTCCATTTGTTCTTCTCAGTGCCTATTTCAGGCTAGCGCGCGCCCTTAGGATGACCACGATAGATGACAGGGCGCAACGCTTCAACGTATTTGATGTGATCGGCCTGTAACTGACATTGAACAGTTAAATATCACCACTTAGAGCTTGTATAGGTGGCCAAACTTCTCTTCGACTCAAGCACCACAAGATAAAGATATTGAAGGAATATCAGCAACTATGCGACACGCCTCAGAAACGCTGACTGCCGTCCTCTTAGTGGATATTTAAGAAGGATTTAAGCACCTGACACATTGGGGTTCATCCTGCAGCACGCTATCGTTTGAAGCTAACGTTGCAACACTTATTTGCGTTTGCCTTTGTTAGATTGCAGGGGTTAAAATAGCGCTTCTTAGCCGCTAGGGGGCAGCCTAGATAAATAGATAATCCGCCTAACGAGAGTAATAAGCCTTATAAAAACCGCGCGCAGAGTTTTTATTTATACCTAGGGATATATAGTTAATATATATCTAAGTTAATTTATTAATTAATAGTCTAATTTATATTAACTAATATACTAATAAGCTATTTATAATACTAAAGAATAGTTTATAAATATATAATAATACTTCTAAATAATAAAAAGATCCCTCTAAAAAGTATAAAAGATTAGGTCCTTTAGATTAACTAAGTTTAAGCCCTCTATTATTCTTATTAGTTATAGTATACTATAAACTTTAAGAGGTTTTCTAAGAGTACTACTTAAGCTTATAAGTTTACTTTCTAGAGGTTTATAGTATCTCTAAAACTCCCCTATATCTCTAACTACTTAGTATAAAGAAATATAACTATAATAGTTCTCTATAAGAATAATATAAAGATTTCCTAAATAATAAGATTTATAGATCTCTCTTAAGTAAATTATACTTTCTATAATAAGCTTAGAGTAAATTATAGCTTCTTTAAAAAGGAGTAAGATAGTATAATAAAAAGTATATAAGAGGTTTAGTAATTTATAAAAGAGATAGTATTTATAAAGTTTCTATAGTATTATTATACTATTAATATAAGTATTAAT